CCCCAAAACCCCAAAACCCCAAAACCCCGAAATGATGATCGATACAATAATTATGAGTTTAAATTTTAACAAATTAAAATATGAATATGAATTAAAGCAATCAAATAGTTTAAAGTGAGAGTTTTACAAAAGCCTCCAAGTCCACATAGCATCTGCTAACTACGCTTTAAACTCTTATTAGCAAGGATCAGAAGCAGAGTCAAAATGTGAAAAATCCAGGCAATGCTTTTAATCAAGAATAAGTGGTGTAGAATAAGATTAATTAGCAGTAGAAGTATGGAAATGATAATAATTTTATCCAATAAAAATACCTCTAAAATGCTCAAATTTAACCACACCATCTAAGGTAATATTCAGAGACTTCTTCATTATTCGACGAATAATAAATGACAGGAATTATATAAGAATCAAGCATATCCCAACATCACCTGATTCCGAATAAACCCAACAAAGAAAACTTTGAAATCATTCCTAAACATAAAAACCTAATGGCCCTTAATAATCAATATACATTAAACAATTAAGAGACTAAACCTTGACAGTAAAACAGCGATTAGTATTAGTAGTTATAGTTGAATCTTTAAAAATTTTCAAGTCATCCCAAATCACAATCAACACCAAACACTATTCACAAACAGATTAATTAGAAATAGTTTGACTATGAAGTGATAGATAAGTGCAAGGAGAATATGCGAAAGAGAAGACTACTGTTTCAAGCAGAGAAAAAGGACATAAATGATACATCAGTTAACAATACAGTAATCGATAGTGATAGCTAAATCAGATCGCAAGATGCAAGCGTTATAATCAAGCAATAAAAAGCAATATCAGGCAATAAAAACACACTTTGTGATTTAATCTAACATGAAATAAGCTCCTCTCAACATCTATCGGGAATAAATGAATTTGATGAAAGTCAAGAATAATAATCTATGATATTCAAAGGAGAGAGCGAAACAACAAGCAAATCTTCTAGTATGCTAAGTGAAGAAATATCTCAGACCTGGATGAATGATCCAGAATGGCATAGATATTCAAGCAAGCTAGAAAAAATTGCGAGATGGCAGGATAAAGTCTAAAAAAAGCATGGATTCGATCCCTTTTAGTATTTTGGAGGTATAAATGATTCAGATGATGACTTAGGTGACTGCAGTTCGAAAGACCCTAGATTCAGCAAAATGTTTGGGAAAGATAATAACAAAGTTTTGCAAAATCAATACTTATCAGAAGAGATGAAAGAACTAATATAGATTATTAAAAATGGTCTAGGTAAAGATTTACATGAGATTTCTGAATAAGATATTATCCAAATCATCTAACAGTAAAAGAGTTTGAAGAAATAGGTTAACGAATAGGAGTTAAAACAGATAGAATAATATGAGTAAAACAAAGAAGAGCTAATAACTTTATAAACTTTGCCTAATGATAATTCAAACAAAGATACTTATTTCCAAACAGAGTAAAACCAACAAACCTTCTATTCTACTAATGAATATTAGGACAGAGAAAGCAACAATGCTCAATAAATTATTTAAGATAACAACGATAAGAATTTAAAATTTAACGATCAAAGAGATTCAGTATCTACTTCAAGTAGTAATTAAATATCTCATGACAAAGTTCAAATTATTGACTCTCTTTTAACCAATCAAAATAATGACTCAAACTAGATTCAAATTCTCAATCAAGATTTAAGCTATGATCCTTAGCATTTGATAGAGATTCATAATAGCAGTCTAATGTCTAGTGGACTCTAATCCAATCCAGGGAGAGTAAATCTGTTCAAGCTTTAAAAATAAAATTCTAATAACTCCATAATTAGATAGAGTTAGAAAAGCCAGTCAAGATCTAATTCAAGGGAAAAGAAAAATCAATACGCAAGCGCATAAAAGAAATAGCTCATTACTAAAAGCAACAGTCTAATAAAGAAAATGGATAGCATTTCATCAACATCGAATATATGCTAGCAATTGATAAACAACAAAATACCCCTTTATAAATAAAGGAACAACAATAATGGAATAGGCTTAACCTCCTTACCTTCAAATTAATCTATCAAAAGTGATATATATAATAAGTATGTTCCATTAACTGATAGAAGCTCTCATCACTAATCATCTGCTACATAATCAATAGTCTCTAATCTTATTCTTAGTTAGTAATCAATTAAGGGAGATCTAACTATTTAAGGAAGCAATAATACTACAAGTGTAGGAAATCTTCTACAAGCGAGTCATAAAGTCAATTAAAATAATAGTAAAAATTCAGGCTCTATTGAAACAGTAATGCCAGCTTAAAGTTTAAAGAAGAATGCTCAAAAATTCTCAATTGGAGAATCACTAAAGAAAAATAGACCTTAATCCACTAAAAAGGGAAATGAAATTCATGTTGATGATGCATTAAAGAAGATTAATAACTTTTATCAAAATAGTATTGAGAGAACTGTGCAAACATAGAATAGTTCAGAATCATGCCAAAATAGAAGTAAATCTCCTAAAATAGATTTAAGTAGCCTCGTTATCAAGAACAAGCACAGTGCACTTTTGAAAAAAAGTGGATTTAAGCAGCCAACAAGCTCTAGTCAAACAAACGTACTAAATCTTCGAAATCTACAATCATCCTAATCATAAAATACTCTGATAAATGTTTTCCAAGGAACATAAAGCCTGTAATAATCTAGCATACTATCAGCTAGAAGTGGGAATTCAAACCAATATTAAATGAATTCATCAAGTTAGAAACAATCTTTTAACCTTTGTATGAATCCTTACAATTCTGGCTCTAAAACTTAGAGAGCCACTGTCCAAACTCTAAGAAGTAATAACCAACATTAACCTTAGTTAAAAACTAATATGGATCACATTGACAACTCAAAAATCACACCATAGACCACTAATAATCCTTAAATCATTAGATTAACTAAGCAAAACAATCAAAGACTTTCAGTAAAAGCCTAATCCAAACCCAGAGGGAATCAATCAAATCCTAAACAAAGGCAAATCTAATAAGCCTACATTAATATGGTTCAGTTTAGCAATGAAACTTCCAATTAAACTTTCCAGGATGAAAATCAATCAATAAATATGAATTAGTAACAGCAGTAAAATTTAGCTCATAATCAGAATTCAATGCATTAGATCTGTGAGATTTCCTTCTCTAAAGATAGTATGAGTATCCTAAGAAATTCTTAAAATGATAGTCAGTACTCAGGCGATATTAAACTAGTTTAAATGCAGCAAAAGTCAATAATCAAATCAAATAAGAATCTCAAACCATCAAACAGACTTCCAAACAATACTAAAACCATCCATCTTGGAACTAATCATAATAGCTTAGGAGATGAAAATAAAAATGTCAATATATTAAGTTAAAGTTAAAAGCAAATTCCCTATGTTTAGTTGAATAATTTTCAAATAAATTAGCAGCAGTAATAAAGATTAAACACTAATTCAAGCTCGAATGTGTTAAGAGATTTATAGATAAATCTTGAAAATGGATCAACTATGTTCAATATAGTGGATGGCTATGATAATCAGTATTATATGATGACATCACCTCACTTCTCAACACAGGAGTACAGAAGCGATAAATTTATTAGCTAATGAATGGCAGAGCCATTAGTCTTCTTATGAGCATTGAAAACAGCAGAATAATTTATGCGAGTGTAATTAAATAAATGTCTTCTATATATTCTCACACCTTGATTTTTAAAAACAGATGGACGGGGTTTTGGGGTTTTGGGG